GGAGAAAGCTGCCACACACCTGAGGCTCCACCTTGCCTCCTTTCTCCTGCTGACACTCCTACCCCCTACATGGAGTCCTGCCACATCTGGGTCTGAATCTGGCATGAGGGTCCTGAAAGCTCTAGACTGTGGAAGCTGCTTTAAAGACAGGGAAAGATAGCATCCCATCCCCACATCACCAAAGCTACTGTCCAGTAGAAACAAACCTGGCCTGGGTGTCAGAGGCCCGGGTTCAAATCTAGGCTCTGTCACTCTCAAGCTGAGTGATCTTGGAAAGGGTACTGAATATCTCTGTGCCTCCACTTCACAAGGACATAGGTCCTTCCCCAATAAGACAATGTGAGGAACAACTTTAACCCAGAGCCTGGCACATGGCAGGCCCTCACTTCGGGTCTGCTGACACTCCAAGGGATGTTGGTGTGCACACAAACAAGCAGAGGCGAGCTCAGAATGAAACTCAGTTAGCGAGGGGGTGGGGCTTCCTACAAGCTGAGCGTGGGGGATGATGGGAACACAGGCAGTGTTATACTAAGAGTCAGAAAACGTATTTAGTCCTGGCTTTTTGGTGTGCCCTTAAGCCTCTGAAGTTTTCTGGTCCCCAGTTTCCTCATCAGCTAAATTTCCTAATTTTCCAAATTGTACTTTCTACCTTGTGGGTGTTTAATGGATGAGTGTAATTTCTCAGATGCCAACTGTCATCAGGCCTGGGGCAAAGGAGTAGTTTAAGTGGCCTCTGTGGCCCCTTGCCCTCCACCCAGCTTGGGTCTTCTAGCCAGTGCACTCACCTGGGGGCAGGGTTCCCTTTTGCTTCGCACTCGATCAGGATGTTATCACGAGGATCCACAATGTGGTCCTTCACTGACTGCTTGGTGATGGTTGGGGGCTGGGACACTGCAACAAGGCAGACAGTAGGCCGTCAGGGCTACAGGAACCTGCCCAGGTCCCTGGCTTGAAGAATGGCTGAAATTAAGAGCTTCAGGAACCACACAGAAGAGCAGGCAAGCAGGGGTGGACAGTGCCCCATTCTGGAGACCGTGGGAAAGGGATGCATCTCAAAGACTAAGCATGAAGAATCCCTTTGAGATGTCACAGTCTCCCCGTGAGCAACTGAAGGCCAGGCTTTTGTTTGACCCACTCTCATGTCCAATGCTCCATAGGCTGTGCCTCTTCCCTTCCCATGTGGTAAGGGACCTCACTACGGAGCTCTGGTGTCAAGAAGCCCCAGCAGGCAGGGTGGAGAGGCCAAGAATCCCCTGGTGTCCCACGCCTGGCCTTCTCCCGCCCCTCCTTCCTGCCCTCCTACCTCCCAGAGGCACAGAGCAGAGAGGTGCCGGGACTTACGCTCATTCTGAATGCTTGCTGTTAGTTCCGATGGGTTAGCATTGAGAGGGGAGAAAAGAAGACATCAGTTATCACACACGACTTGTCCAATTGTCAGGTGTCCTCACGCCCCAGCACGCAGGGAGGAGGGAGAAGTGGGCCAGGGGAGGGCACCGTGAGCAGATTCTCTCCAGCCAGCTGCAGAGCTCCATGGAAGAGCCACGTTGCAGTGTGGACGGACCCAGCAAGTGCTTCGTGGAGAGGGCGATGCCTCCCCCGAGAGACCGAACCATGCTTCCAACCAAATGACGATGCCACCAGGCAAGTCCAAACGTCAAAAGTGGCAACACTGCTCTAAAGAGGCTGGGATCTGAAGATGCCGCTGTCACCTCTAGACGCCCCCTGGCCAATAGTGCCAGGGTGAGGCTGAGGTGCCAGGGAAGGGCTGGAGCAGAAGCACTGTTACAGGACAAAGCCCCAAGGGCCCAGCAAGGTCCACTTGCCTCCCTCCTCCCACTGCCCCTGTTCTCTTTCACACATGAAAGCACCTTCCCTCACCGTCTCCTCCTTTGCCATCCCCCTTGGAAAACTCTAGGGACAGACCAGTGCCCTGCTCGCGGCACAATTACACTGCCCTATAGAAATCCCACTCCTGAACTGTGAGATGAAGCAGAGCCCAATGCTCCTCTCCCTGCTTTTTACAAAAGAGATACAGGGGCAGGTGGCACACACCTGCTCGGCCCACACCTGATACGCTCGTGTACAGGTGTGTATGTTCTCAAACTTTGACAAGCATATGAATCACCTGTGGGGTGTGTGTGTAAAATGCAGGCTCTGACTGGGCAGATCTTGCATTTCTGACAAGCAGCCAAGTGATGCGCATGCTGATGGTCTGTGGACCACGCTTTGAACACAAAGTTTTAGATGGTATGTTCTTTGTGCGGACAAGGTCTTGGTTGAAATTTGTCCGAAGAAAAGAGAACATCTGTTGTAACTTTTAGAGATATCTTTTCCTTATGATTATATCAGCAAATAATATGACTTTGTCGTTTCATGCTGCTGTGGATGTCAGGTATTGTGCGGTGTTGAGGCTGACTTTTTCCAAGTGAGTGCTTCCTGCGAGAAGCAGGGGCTGCTGATGAGCCACCGTGACCCTGAAGCTTCCTGACTTGACCACAGTGAGATGTGGACTCAGAAAGGGGCGGCCTCTCAGGAAAGGAGAAGGCAGAGTTAGACGGGACCAAGAGCTGCAGGAGGAGTCACAGGAGAAGTAAGACAGACATCAGAGAGGGGAGGTGGAGGGTGGCAGGAATGTGTTCTACTATACACGCTCTGAGTGAAAATCTGGAGAGCAAGGCCCATGAAAAGGTTCAAAATAATTCTTTCAAGTGGGCAAGGACTGTGTGGCCTGCTCTGGCACAGAAGAGAAATTCAGGCTGCTGTACCTCTTGCCTGGCCCCCTGGGTAGGAAACAAAAAGAAATGAAACGTCTGGGGGCAAAGCAGAAGTCTGGTTTCCGAACACATGCTCCGTGGAGCTTCCCACAGCAGGCTCTTCAGCCACGCACAGTTTTCTGGACAGCAGTGGGGTTGGTTTTAGATGGTACGTACTCCTACAGGGGTGGGGCCTGGGGGAGGTTGGGCCAAGGGGCCACTTTCAGGAGAATCAGAGCTGATACTTGACCCACTCCTTTTGACCATAGCCCAGGCTCCTGGTTTTTCATCTCAAGAGAGAGTTGGTGTCTCCTGGGTTCTCACAGACAGTGGAAGGCACTGGCCTCACCCTGGATGGGAAGCCTGACAAAGATTCTGCTTTGCCTGTGTGGGTCTTCAAGCCTCTCTTTTATTCCATCAAATGTTGGTTCAGTGGAAAGATCGCTAGACGTTGTCCAGGGAATCTCAAATCCAGGGAAGGGAAGTCCTTGGTCAAGATCACTCAGGAAGCCTGTTATAGAACTGGAATGAGAACCAGCTCTTCTGCTGCCTGATCCAGAGCTCTTTTTACAAATCCATCTTTGCCAGGTGGGGGGTCTTGGCACTCTGTTCTCCTTGACATTTTGGACAAAGGTAAGTAAGAGGGGAGACCTTGAGGGAGCAGAGACTCTCAGAGCAGTTGGAGCTGGCTGGATACTGTCCCCAGCCCCACACTGAAATCAGGCCAGGAGCCTCTTGAGAATCTACTTGCCTAAAGAGGTAATGACATCTGCAGCCACCACTGTGCTACCAAGGATTTTATTACAGGGACACAATCAACCCAGAAGATAAGCTGCCACAGGGAGAAGACAGTGGGGACCGCCTGCCTAGTCCTGTGCCCCCTCCATTCTCCATCCTGTGTCACACCACCTGCCCTTCTCTCCTATGGAACTTGCTGGAGGATAGGTTTGTTCTTTTGGGTCCCAGGCGGGGGAAAATCTCCCAACAGGCTCCGCGGGGGGTGAGGCAGATGCCACCCAGTAATCATGTGCCTCTTTTCTTTCCCTCACTCTGATATCTGTGACCTCTGGGCTCATCCCTCGGGGGAGGAATGTGTGTGTGTGCATGCACGTGTGTGCCTGTGTGTTGTTGAGGTCATCCTGTAGCCTATGTGGGATGATGGTGAGGAGAAAGTGTTTCTCCCATGGCACTGCCCCCGTCTGTGGGCTTCTAGGAGAAAAATGGGGAGTCCCTTGATGTTGGGAAGGAGACAGTGCGGCAATCTGACAGCAGACTCAATTTTTTGGCAAACCCTCTGTTTGATGAGGTGACTCTTTGCTTTCTTCAAAGGTCACACTGTTCTTGAAGCTGGTGAGGGGGAGGTGGGTGGGTGTGACTCCGCTGGCAAAGTGGTGGGGACTGGAGGCCGGGAACTTCAATGAGGGACCGTGTAGCAGCCCCGGCTCTGCTCCTGGAAGCCTGCTGCACCCAAACTCGCCAGAGCAGAAGCAATGCCCTACCCTCCAGACATAGATAATGCCCCATGAAGGGGCAAGGGAGCAGAAGGGCACACCTGGCAGGGCAGCCTCTGGTTTGAGCCCCCCAAACCTGCAGCCCTCTTCCCTCCCCAACAGACAGGGAAAGTTAAGAGTGCTTAATCTTAGATTGTTCCCCATGTCCTGGCTATTGTGAAAACGCTGCAAGGAAGAGGGCGTGAAGATACCTCCTGCTTCTTGCCACAACATGGATGGACCTTGAGGGCATTACACTAAGTGAAATAAGTCAGACAGAGAAAGATAAATATGATATGTTCTCACTTATATGTGGAATCTAAAAAAGTCAAACTGAAGGAAGAGAATAGAATGGTGGTTGCCAAGGACTAGGAAATGAGAGATATTGTTCAGAAGGTACGAACTTCCAGCTATAAAGTGGATAAGTTCTGGGGATCTAATTTACAGCATGGCAAGTGTAATTAATAGTAGAGGCACAGCTCAGAGATATTACGGGTTTGATTCCAGACCACCACTACAAAGCCAATATTGCAATACAGTGAATCACATGAATTTTTTTGGTTTCCCAGTGCATATAAAAAGTGATGTTTACACTATGCTATACTCTATTAAGTATGCAATAGCATTATATCTAAAAACAATGTACACAGCTTAATTTAAAAATATTGTATTGCTGAAAAAGTGCAAACCATCATCTGAGCCTTTAAGGGTCTTGCTTTGATGTTGATGGTTGCTGAATGATCAAGGTGGTGGTTGCTGAAGGTTGGGTGACTGGTGGGTGTCTTATTTTCTTAAAATAAGACAAAAATGAAGTTTACCACATTGATGACTTCTCCCTTTCACAAACTATTTATCTGTAGCATGGGATGTTGTTTGATAGCATTTTACCACAGAACAATTTTTAAAATTGGAGTCGATCCTCTCAAACCCTGCTGCTGCTTTAACAACTAAGTTTATGTCATATTCTGAACCCTATGTTGTCATTTCAACAGTCTTCACAGCATCTTCATCAGGAATTCCATCTCAGAAAATCACCTTCTTTGTTCATCCGTAAGAAGCAACTGCTCATCCATTCAAGTTTGATCATGAGATTGCAGCGATTCAGTCACATCTTCAGGTTCCACTTCTAATTCTAGTTCTTTGCTATTTCCACCACATCTGCAGATATTTCCTCCACTGAAGTCTTGAACTCCTCAAAGTCATCCAAGAGGGTTGGAATCAACTTCTTCCAAAGTCCTGTTAATGTTGATATTCTGATCTCTTCCCATGAATCATGAATGTTCTTAATGACTTCTAGAGTGGTGAATCCCTTCCAGAAGGTTTTCAATTTACTTTGCCCAGATTCATCAGAGAATCACTATCTATGGCAGCTATAGCCTTACAAAATGTATTTCTTTAAATAATAAGACTTGAAAGTAAAAATTACTCCTTGATCCATGGGCTGCAGCATGGATGTTGTGTTAACAGGCATGAAAATAACATTAATCTCATTGTACATCTCCATCAGAGCTCTCATGTGACCAGGTGCATTGACAATAAGCAGTAATATTTTGAAAGGAATTTTTTTTCTGAGTGGCAGGGTTCAAAAGTGGGCTTAAAATATTTAGTAAACCATGATATAAAGAGATGTCCTGTCACCCAGTCTTTGTAGTTCCATTTATAGAGCACAGGCAGAGTAGATTTAGCATAATTCTTTTTTTTTTTTTTTAAAGAACTCATTTTTTTAAAAAAAATATATCTTTATTGATTTCAGAGGAAGGAAAGGAGAGGGGGAGAGAGAGATAGAAACATCAATGATGAGAGAGTCATTGATTGGCTGCCTCCTGCATGCCCCCTACTGGAGACTGAGCCTGCAACAGGGGCATGTGCCCTGACCGGGAATCGAACCCTGATCACCTGGATCCTAGGTCGCTGCTCAACCGCTGAGCCATGCCCGGCCAGGTGATTTAGCATAATTCTTAAGGGCTCTAGGATTTTCAGAATGGTAAATGAACATTGGCTTCAACTTAAAGTCACTGGCTGCATTAACCCCTAAAAAGAGAGTCAGCCTGTCCTTTGAAGCTTTTAAGACAGCCATTGACTTCTCCTCTCTAGTTATGAAAGTCCTAGTTGGCATCTTCTTCCAATAGAAGACTGTTTTATCTGCATTGAAAATCTGTTGTCTAGTGTAGCCACCTTCATTAATTATTTTAGCAGGACCTTCTGGATAATGTGTTGCAGCTTCTACATCAGCACTTCCTGCTTCACCTGCACTTTTATGTTATGAAGACAGCTTCTTTCCTTAAATCTCATGAACCAACCTCTGCTAGCTTCAAACTTTTCATCTGCAGCTTTCTTACCTCTCTCAGTCTTCATAGAATTGAAAAGAGTTGGGGCCTTGTTCTGAATTAGGCTTTGACTTAAGGGAATGTTGTGGCTGGTTTGATCTTCTATCCAGACCACTAAAGCTTCCTCCACATCAGCAATAAGGCTGTTTTGCTTCCTTATCATTCGTGTGTTCACTGGAGGAGCACTTCTACTTCCTTCAAGAACTTTTCCTTTGCATTCACAACTTGGCTAACCAGCACAAGAGGCCCAGCTTTTGGCCTGCCTTCCTCACTGAGCTTCATCATTTCTAGCTTTTGATTTAAAGTAAGAGACGTGAAATTCTTCCTTTCACGTAAACACTTTGAGGCCATTGTGATGCTATTAATTGGCCTAGTTGCAATATTGTGTTCCAAGGAATTAGTGGAGCAGTCAAAACACATGCAACATTTGTCAATTATGTTTGCCATCGATATGGGAGTGGTTTGTGGTGCCCCAAGATGATTTCAATAGTAATATTAAAGATCACAGATCACCATAACAAATATAATAATAATAATAAAGTTTGAAATATTGCAAAAATTACCAAAATGAGACTCAGAGACCCAAAGTGAGCAAATGCTGTTGGAAAAATGGTGCCGACAGGCTTGTTCAAGGCAGGGCTGTCACAAACTTTCAATTTGTAAAAAATGCAGTATCTGTGGGGTGCAATCACGTGAAGCACAATAAAATGAGGTACGCCTGTACTGCATTATATATTAGAAAGCTGTTAACAGAATAGACCTTATACGTTATTGCCACACACAAATACGTGAGGGGATGGATATGTTAACTAATACTACTGTAGTCATCATTTCGTAATTTATATGTGTAGCAAATCATCACGTTATACTTAAACTTACATGTTTTGTGTCAGTAATATCTCCATAAAGCTGGGGAGGGGGAGGAATGCCTGATCTTTCCCCAGCCTCTTCCACTGGGCGAGAAGGAAGGATGGACTCAGATAATCTGGGAAGCGGGAGGGAGAAACTGGGCCGTAGAGGACCTCTTCCCAGGGCAACTGGAGGGCTTGCCTTTCTCTTGTCTTGTGTTCAGCTTCGGTAGACGCATTCTCGAGTCGTCCCCATGGCCACTGTGCCAGCAGTCACCAGGGAGGTGCATGAGGCAGCGAGTTTCCTGAGACAGCCTGGCACACCGGAATGTGTCCCAGATGGACTCCCCTCCTTATTCAGAGAGGCGCTGTGGCCACATGCTGGCCCTGCCACTTAGGAGCTGGAGAAACATCTTTATCTCTCCATACCTCAGACTTCTAACCTGACCGCTAGGGACAACACACACTTCGTGGATCAGCTGTGAGAATCACAGGACACGATGCTGTGACACACTCAGCTTTCAGCAGGACAAATGCAGCTGCTACTCTGCGGAGCTCTAAGAATTGAAAGGAGGCAGGTTTGCTAGAGGTCAGTGTGGGGCATGCTGAGTGCCAAACTAGGGGTCATCAAGAGACCTGGACTCTTCTTGCGACCCCATCACCCACCGGCTGTATGACCCAGACCAAGCAAGGGCCTGAGTTTCTGTGGATGGAACACAGAAGGGTGGACCCTCCAGGTCCTCCTCCCACGGGGAGAGGGTGGTGGGAAGGTCAGGCACTCGCAGCTCTGGGCTCCACAGGTGGTACTTGAAGAGACTGACGGCTTAGTCACCTGCCTGTGGCTTGGTAGAGCTTCAGAAACCCAGAGTCCTGGCACAGATGTCAAAGCCATCTATTTATAGGCTCACCTTGCAGGAACTCCTTGCCCTCTAGCCCTGGGGATCAAAGTGGCAGGTGAGTGAGGGAGGAGAAGCGCCCAAGAGAAATGAGGCTTACCCACTTCCCCAATAACCCAATTTCCTCAGCAGCCCGTCTCCAGGGGGAGGGAGGGCCTCACCATGCTCCTTATTAGATGGTCTGCCTGGGACTGTAATGAGAATCTCCTCGAGCCAGCAGTACAGATGGTCTCTGTGGAACAGTTCCTCTCATAGCTCCCCTGTAACCTCCCAGAGTGCGCACACACATGCACACACACAGACATGCACGCACACATATATACACACACACACACACACACTTGGGGCTACCAGGAGGGCAGCAGGGGCTTTTTCCAGCGTGCTTCTGGGCCTACCTTATAGTTTCTCCTGGCCTTCTCTCATCCAAAGTGCCTACTCCTCTGGGGTAGCTAGTATTGGTGAAGTGAGGTGGGAGGGGCTGAGACACCTGCAAGTCTTCTCTAACCCCTGCTAGCTCCAGGTCCCAGGGTCTGGCTTTGGAGAGCTCAGTGGAGAATTCTTGGAGGTTATATAACTCTCCTCCCCCTCCCCAGACATCTGTCACCCAAGCCAACATCGGAATCATGTGGGTTCCATCTATTCCCGGTATCAAGGAAAAAGGGACAGAGTTGGTGTGCCCACATTTTAGCACTGGGATGCAAGACATCCTGATAGGAGTGTCAGGACTGTGACAAAGGTGGTGCACCTTGAAACGCAGAGCCAAGAAGCATGGCTGCCGGTCAATGGGCCATCACGAACGTAAACACAGATATGCTGGTGGAGACACTGTTAGATCAGCGCTCTAAGCCCCTCACTTTGTGATTCTGATGGCAAAATAATGCCTCCACCATGGAAAACCAAATGACATGGACTTTACTTTTCAACTCTACTGTGGGACAGTTAAAGCAGCAGGAATCAGTGCCTGGCTCCCCCACATTGGCATTCTAATGGGCTCTATTTTAGTGTCTCCTGTAGCCACAGTCTTCTGCAACATAGCCCCCTTCCCAACCTTCTCCTAGCCACCTGTCCTCCTGATCAGTCTAGCCAAGAGAGCCTGAAGGATCTAGCTCAGGAATTAGGTAAATAACCATCCACTCATTTGGTCCCTGGAAACTCCGCTTCAATGGGCAATTCAAGACCACAGAGGATACTCTGACGTTCTAACCTACCCCTTCTAGTCTCGCTCAGCAGGCACCAGGCAGCCCAAGTCACAGCCACAGCCCTGAGACCATGCTGCAGATGTACAGTCACACATTCTCAAATCCACTGTTTCCCCTCCCCACACCTTCTTTGAAAGTTAGCCTTAACGTTCCTTTGTCCCAAATCAGAATAAAAGAGGAAGGAACAGAACTCACGATCCATAGGAATCTCGATGGCCCCGCCAAGGCCGAGGAGGAAGAGGAGGAAGGCTGCATGGACCCAGGGTGGTGGCTGCAGCCGGGCCATCCTCAGCGCTGGGCCCCGCTCCCCGTTCCCCGGCTGGCGGGGTCTTGCTGCCTCCAGCGGCTTTAGCTCCAGCCTCCCAGACAGAGCTCAGCTGTGGAAAGAAATATGACAAGTGAGTTACTTCTAAAACTCATGGTTTGTACTAGCAATCTTACAGGGCTGGAAGGATGCAAGGGGCCCCTTGGTCACAGACCAGTGCTCTAAAACAGGGTTTCTTAACCTTGCACTATTGACATTTGGGACCCAACGATTCCTTTTTAAAAAATATATCTTTATTGATTTCAGAGAGAGGAAGGGAGGGAGAGAGGTAGAAACATCAATGATGAGAGTCATTGATCGGCTGCCTCCTGCACGCCCCCTGCTGGGGATCGAGCCCACAACCCGGGCATGTGCCCTGATTGAGAATCGAACCGTGATCTCCTGGATCCTAGGCCGACGCTCAACCACTGAGCTGCGCCAGCTGGGCCCAACAATTCTTTGTGTGGGGAATAGTCTTGGGTATTGTAGGGTGTGTAGCAGCATCCTGGCCTCTACCCACTAGATGCCAGCAAAGCCCACTTTTGCCACCAATCAAAAATGTCTCTAGACAATGCCAACTGTCCCCTGGAGGACAAAAGCACCCTGAGTTGAGAACCACTGTTCTAGAAGGAAGGGCAACTCTGGATAGAACAGTCATGAAAACAAACACTGGCCCATAGGCCCAGCACCTAGAAAATGCCATACACCTGGCCAGCAATAAATTCACCAATCTTACAACTCCTCTGAACTGTACGTGCTGAGTGGGTCTATGTTTGAGTGGGTTTGGGGTAGGGGCACAGAGATAAGATCACACTGATGTCCTGTGACCCAGGGAGGGGGACAGGGTGAAGGTGGCAGCACTGGGGATCAGGGGTTAGATAGGTGAAACTTGGTTGCCCAAAGGGCTTTTTTTTGGTTAATCCTCCCCTGAGGACATTTTTTCCCCCATTGGCTTTTAGAGAGAGTGGAAGGAAGGGAGGGAGTGGGGAGAGAGAGAGAGACATCGATGTGAGAGAAATATATTGATTGGTTGCCTCCCGCACATGCCCTGACCAAGGCCAGGGATCAAACCTGCAACCCAGGTACGTGCCCTTGACTGGGAATCAAACCCGAGACCCTTCGGTGTACAAGCTGACACTCTGACCACTGAGCCACACTGGCCAGGGTGCCCAAAAGACTTTTTATTTTTTTTAAGTGAATGATTTCTGCCTATACTTTGTGCAGCTAAGGCATGGCAGTCTCTGAAGCATCCTTTAGAGATAACGGCAGTGCTGAGATGATGGCCCAGGGGAGGGGACTCTAAGGGGTTGGTAGGATGAGCAACATTATGATAGCCCAATGTTCACATCCTCAAACACAGGACTTATTCCAGAGCCTAGAGGGGCAGGGGTTAAAAGTGGCAGTCCAAGGAGCCTGGGGTGGGTCCTTAAGAGATAGACCTTCTGTTTTCCTCCTGAGAGACAAAATCAAGAATGGCCTACAGCTGACACCCAAACCCAGAGCTTTAAGATTACAGAGTTTCCGAAAGACGAGGCTTATAAACTGGCCCAGTGTGCTCTTCCACCATGGGGTCAAGTCGAGCAGGGGGACAGGAGGAGGTTTTCCCATAATCTTGCCAGCTTTCCCAGACTAGCAGCCACCTATCAAAATGGACACACTTCTACTCCTGTTTTATTTGGCAGCACCTGAAAGCCTGCTCGCATCGGTGTACCCACCATCTCCCACCCACCCTGATTGAGGGTGCAGGGGAGGAGCCGGGGAGCAGGGCTCCAGGGCTTTTCCTGGGAGACAAGGACATGCTTTGGAAGACCTGGAGGCTGAGGTACCCCGCTGTGCCAGGACACGGGGCAAGCTGAAGGATTCTGACTCAGATTTCATCAGTTTCTTTCCTGGAAGCTGGGCCAACAGCAGCCCCCAACCTCAGGTGTATTTCTGGACTCCACTCCTTCCCATTGCTTCCAGCCTGGTTTTGGTCACCATCATTTCATGCCAGTCACTGCAGGGAGACCTAAATGGTCCCCCGCTTCTACTCTTGCCCCTCTGGCTCATTCCCCACCCCATAACCAGAATGGTTATTTCTAAAGTGCAAATATAAATACTATGCCACTCGCCTAGTCAAACTCACTAGCTCACTACTGCGGGAAAGTCAAAGCGAAAGCCCTTGACATGGCTCAGAGGCCCTGAACGACACAGCCCCGCTGCACTCTCATCTCTCATCACCCTCCTGTGTTCTGCGTTCAGCAAACACGGGGCTTCCACCAGGTCTCTTCGTGCATCACACTCTGTCGTGCTGACCGACTTCTCACAGACTGATGTCTGTCTAGACCGCTCTTCGAATCCGCCCTCTCTCATTAGGATTTGCCAAGTATGATTTATGTGCCCCTTCTCTGCACTCCTGAACACCAGTTATGCCTTGCTATTAAAGCACTTGTCACTTTGGATTCATTCCAAAGGCCACTCTGTATCCCCCATGAAAAGGCTCTATAAGGGGAGATGCCTCCCCTTGGCCATTCCTAGGCTCTAACATAGTGCCTAAAACATAGCGGGCACTCAAAAATATGGGATGGAAGGATGAAAAATGGACAAATGACGGATGAAATAAACCACTTAGGTCACGTGTTTTTTAAAAACCTCATATTCCTCCGGAAAACCACCAGGTGGTACAGGAGAACACATGAGTTGGACCTGAGCAGCACACTGTGCAGGCTACCAATTAATTAGTGGAGGAAAAATCTCCCTCCCTACACAGCACTGCCCTCCGGCCAGGGAGCCATCCGGCTGGAAGAGCGTTAAGAAAGTAGAAAAGCTCCCAAGGAGGGGTCCTCTGGCTAAAAGGCATCGCAGGAGGTCTTTGGTTCTGCCTCCTCTCTAAGATCCTTTTACAGAAAGTCTGCTGCCTCCTCTCCTGGACTCCTCCGTGTCCGAAAACCAGACTCAGGTTACGCAGCTGAAACCTTGGTGCTGACAGGCAGCACTGGGGGAAGGCTCAGCCCTCCTTCAGGGGGGACAGTGGGGATGGCTCCAGTCTGGCCTGTGGCTGCCAGGCTTTGTTAGGAGCTGCCCAGCAGTAGGAGTGATGGGAAAGAGAGGGATACCTTATTCTGGGAATCTTGATGTAAAAAGGAAGCCAGGAGCTGTTCATTAATCAGAAACACATCGGCAGGAAAAAAAGCCCAATTACTTAGGGTGCTTTTAACTCACAATTTAAAAACACAGGAGAAAAAGAACACAGAGATAATCACATTTAGCTCTTTGACAATTCTCCCTGGAACCATTTTTTTTTTTTTTTACCCAATAAAATCTTAAAAGATGAAGAGAATTTGAGAATTATTTAGCTTTATGCTTTTCAGATGAGGAAACGAGAGGTCAGACAGGGAAAAGATTTGCTCAAGGTTACACAGCGGGCTAGTGGAAAAGCTAGGAAGAGAACCCAGGTCTCCTGACTCCTAGCCCACGTTCCCCCCCTCCCCGCCCCCAATTTCCCTGTCTCTCAATACGCAGCAAAGTGCCTGAGTAAAGTTACTATTTTAAAAAGAAATACATATCCTGGCAGTTCCTCAAAAAATTAATTACCATGTGACCACAAGTTTCTACTCGTAGGCATATGCCCCGAAGTGTTCAAAGCAGGTTCTCAAACAAGTCCATGTACACACGCGGTCACACCAGCATCATTCCCAACAGCCAAAAGGCGGAAACAGCCCAAAGGCCCATCAAGGGGAGAGTAAATCAACAAATCAGGCCTGGAAAAAATGAGGTGCAGATGCATGAAGTGGTGATGCATGAAGTGCTGGTGCATGCTACCATGTGGATGAAACCCCAGGGCATTACGCTCTCTGAGAGAAGCCAGACACGAGATGGGACGAATGATCCATTTATATGAAATATCTAAAATAGGTAAATCCATAGAGACAGACACAGATTGGTGGATACCAGGGGCAGAGAGGAGGGGGGAATGGGGAGCAGCTGCTTAAAGGCACAGGGCTTCCTTTTGGAGTCGTGATAATGTTTGGAACTAGATAGAGGTGATGACGGCACACATTGTGAATATTCTAATGCTCCTGAACTGTTCACTTTAAAATGGCTGATTTTTGATGTGTGAGTTTACCTTAATAATAAAGAAATAGAGAGAGAGAGCTCTGATCTCTAAAATGTGCTCATAAGGATGGGAGAGCCGAGGATGAGGAGGGTGGGGTATCCACACGGGCATATAGGCAGCCTCAGCTCCCCAGCCGGGTCCACTCAGCCCATCTTGTCCGTAGCCTGCAATCCTTCCTGTACATTCTGAGGAAATTTCCATCCAAGTCAAGAAAGGGAGAGTCAACAGCTGTCGGGCCTGGGGGTTCTGGGCCTGTGAGCAAAGAACCCAGATCAGACTGGGGACCAAGATGCCCTGCCTGAAGGTGCCCCCACATCCCCAAGGCTTACGGTTTCCCCAATCCTGATAACCAGGGAGGAAGGGGGAAGGGCAGGGGTTTCTAACCTACAGCGATTAAATGCACACTTCGCTTCCAAGCAAACCTCAGTTCTTGCACTATCGTGTGGTATGTGTGGCCCACTCACATAGTCTCAGGTTCCTCTCCTAGCCCTTCCACCAACACAAGAGATTATCCCTAGGGGTGGAGAAGTGCACCATCCACTGGGGGCGTAGTGGCCAAAGCCCCTCAAGGGGAACGCTGTGTAACTACGGAGCATCCTGGGGAGGAATAGGAAATCCCATACCCTGTGAGAGGGGGATCAGGCTACAGAACAGGGGGCCATGAAGACCATCTTAAATGCTGGAAGATGTGAAATGTTTCTCTTTAGCTCCACAGGGGCAAAACTAGGACCAAATGGGAGGAAGTTCCAGAGAGGCAGGAGCTTCTCTGAGATGCTGGGAAGAATCATCTAATAAACAGCCACCCTACGACACCATTCATGAAAACGCAACACACTACCTGTACACTCCGCCAAAACAATGTGTTTGAAGGATCCTTTTATATCGAATCCAACAGGTAAGAGGTGGAGTGTAAGGATATGAAATACATTAGAGGGAGGCCTACTGCAGAAAGAGAGTGAGGGGAAAAATTGTACCAA